ACTTCCTTACTTGCAAGTTGCTGCAACAGTAGGAGGAGAAACTGAGCAAGGAAGCATCATATCACATGAAAATTGCATTATTTTATTTCATAAGCAGATTTTGTTGTTTTAAAGAAACAGTATGGTATATGTCCTGTTTGGAGGCAGAGGGAAGGTGTTACAAGACAGACAGGCAGGTAGTCATTTGTTCCAGGTCCTAACACTGAATGTTCACTGCTATCTATTGAACAATTTTTAATTATGGGTGATGATCTTTCACTTTAAGACACATGATATAAAACCTTGTATTTTTTTGGCTTACAAGAACTCTCCAGCTCAAATAGAGATTTTCAACTACAGTCAAATATTTTTGCATCCTTAACCTGAACATAAACTTACTTTTAAAGGACTTTAAAAATCTGCCCTTTATTTGTTTTTGTTTCAATGTACTAAACAAAGCAAATACCAGCCTCCTTGCCCCACCAGGTTTTTAGACCTGTGGGTTACAGAAGCATCTTTCTAATAATGACAGTGACCAGTGATTTCTCACTGATTCTAATACTTGCTTAAAATATTGCCTTTGTGAACTGCTCCATTAATTGCTATTAAGCATTCTGGACTGTGTGGTTCTAGAAACATTAATTCAACCCTTCTTGCAGAATTTGGCATTTTCCTGCAGCCAGACTCCATTGTTTTCATCTGTGGCTGCCTCCTCTTGATGTTTACCTGTGAGGTGTCTATTTAGATTATGGTGTGGAACTTCCATTCTCATAGAACCAGGCAGGAGGGTGGTTAGAACTGCACTGTGTTTCACCTTCTGTTGATTTACAGAAGATTGCAGTCTGATTCCTGTCCTCTTTGTAATACTTTGTCACAGCTAACAGGAGTTGTTGCAGTAGTAGCTCTTAAAAGTCAGTGCACAGATATGGTATGCATATTTAAAGCCTTAGTTTCTATTTTTGCAAAATTACCTCAGAATATTCAGTCCCTTTAAATCTTACAGCAGATGAAATCAGGAAGAGCTGCTTTGTTGCTTAAGAGCAGAGGAAGTGTGACTTTCCAGCACTGCACTTAATTTCTCTAGAGATTATGGCATCTTACAGGTTGTTTGAAATATTAGAAAACAATTGTTTTTAAACACATTTCATGAGACAAATATCTCCTGCAATGTACTGTGATGGATTTGTTGATAGTGACTTCTCAATTTGCTGGAACAATGCAAATCTTTGAATTGCTCAGTTGAACTAGAGGTGTGACAAGGATTTCCACTGTTCACATCTGAGCAGTTTGACAGTATTTTTGGTTTTCCCCTAGCACAACTTAGTAAATTTGAAATCTGTGCTTGTGAATGAAATAGGATTTCTTGCAAGCATTTCTGTGAGGAAAGAATACCATGTCCTAGAGGCCTACCAAGTAGAGCTTTATAGACTGCTTGGGTGTTTTTTGCCCATATGTTGGTGTACGTTGGAAGTGTACTAGTTATAAAAAAAATTACATCCTTTCATTGAAGATGATCTCTTGTTCTTACCTAAACTGAGGTGGTAGTCTTGGGAGCTTGCTAGTTTTCAGTTTTTAATGTAGCTGTGTCTCCTAGTTCAGGATTGTGAGAGAACTCACGTTGTTGTCTTTTGGATAAGAGGATTTGTCCGAAATTTGGTCCAGTCCTCTGCTGTCACAAGCACAATTTTGATAAGGATAAGACTATCAAAAAGTTACTAAATATAGCCTCGCAGTTATTGAGGGCTTTAAAACACCTCCCCCCAAACCTACCGCTGGTTTTGACTTTTTGAGCCACACTGCGGTAATAACTAAGACTTACAAATTTCAGGCTGAAGCTACTCACAGCAAATTTATACCTGTTTGTTCATGGATATCCTTATTCTTCTGCTTAAATAATTTCTTTTCTTTTGCTGATGTTCACCCTTCTTATTTTTTTACAGTTGGTGATCTGTTAGCCTTGGTTTTTGGAAACTGTGTAAACTAAGGTTTTAGTCTGCTTCTGTATGAAAGCCTCTGCATTCCAGTGATTATCCTTCATAGTCCTACTTTCTGTGCTTGTTATGAGTTAATCTTCTTTTTACATGTGGATAATATTGTATGTGCAATTATACAGGATGTCCTTCTCAGTGACTCTGATGTCAGTTCTTTCACTAAAGGATGTACATTTGCCATTTTCAGTGCAGTATCGTATAGACCGTTCATTCATTGCTATGCCATGATCAAGAAGTCGATTAAAGTTTTTTTATTCCCCAGCTTGTGAATTTGCAATACAATTTTAAAGCTTGCTTTTAGTTTTTAAGGATATAACTTTGTGTTTCTTATGGTTGTTTTTAAAAACACTCGGGTTGAGGAAGTTCTCGTATGAATTGCTATTCTTCTGAGCTGCTGACACCTGCTAACTTCGAATTATCAACAGTCTTCATTTCATATTTACTTTTTTCCCTCATTAGATTTATTAATATATATATATATTAATATAATTATGCTTGACATCAGTCTCATGATAAATTCTGAAGAAGTTGCTTACTGACCTGTATCAACTATTCTCAAAATCCCCCTTTATTATCTCCATCCAGGCAAAGCCTTCATTTCCAAAACCAGCTCTTTTAGTTAATTTTTTCTTTATCTGGTTTTGTTAACTCTTTATATATTTAAGTGATCTATGGAAGTCCAGATAGACGGGATTTTTTCTTCTGTGTATGTAGTGTGCCTGTTAATTTCCATATGGTTATTATTTTCACATTCTGAGTTTTTTTATATTCATTAATATGATCTGAAAAACATATGGCATTTCATTCCTCCTTATTTTATCTAAGGATATATTATCTCTTCATTTGCATAGTGCCACCATGGGCTACCAGTCCTGCATATAGTCTTGTATGCTGGTCCTTCCAGACCTTAGGGAGTTGTTTCCATTTGTTTCATCTTTCTTTTTCTCCTACTTCAACTTAATATTCTTCAAAATACTGAATCGTCTTTCACCTCAGTAGTTCCTCATGCCATGCTCTGGTTCTTAGTTACCCATTCTGCCTTACAGATGTTAAACTAGGGAAAGGTGCTTGTTTATAAATAAGATGTGTGCAATAGCTGGTAGCTTTAGAAAAGCCAGCTAGAGAATAACAATGATCCATTCTCAAACTGGAGCACTATTTGCTTGCAAAAAATTAGCAGGTCATGTCATATGAATTTATTTTTATCCTTAATTACTATTTTGAATGTTGTGACTGATTAAATTATTGTAAAAGTTGAAAATGAGACATTTCAACATTCTAGTTTGGGCTTCACAAATTACTTTTGTACAAGATGAATGAAGGAATTACAGGGGAACAGTCTTTGAGCAGCAATTGCTGTTCCAGTCTCTTGTAAATTTGGAAGATCCAGGGAATCAGAGAAGGGCACTGACAGCATTCTTTGAAAAGTACAAAGTGGAACCAAATTGCAGCTAAACATGTGGGGGGCAAGGGAATAGATAAAAGTGGAAATTAGGTGAACACTTCATTAATTTATTTCAAATGACCCAATAACTGCCTAAAATACTTTAAGAAATAGTTCAATTCTATAAAAGTTACTGTTTTGACTTCTTTAATGTCTCTTGACCTTGGCTGTCAGTGTGGCAGTCTGAGACTTGTCGGTAGCATTCTGAAATGTATTTTGTCAGTTTCAAAGATCCTGAAGTTCTGTTTTGTTTTTGTCTGTTCATTCTAGAAGTGCTTTCTTAATTTTGTGTTGCTGTGAGCACAACCACTGTGACACTGGCCCTGCTCTAATAATTTGGCTTTCAACATAGTTGTATTTGATACTGCTTTTTATACAGTGAAAAAAAATATTTCTTGAGGTTTAACTGTAATATATAAGATCACTTTTTACTATAAAGGGATTGTTTTTGTTGTGGGAGTACCAGAAATGCAAAACATTCTCTATCCAAATTTGACTATCTAGCACTTCTACTATTGCTTGAGAACCTAGGCAAATTTGAAATATCTTGTCATAAACTGTACACACTGATTTCTCATGTAAGTTTTAACAGGGCAGTCTTATAGAGAATAATTACTGGGTTAATAATTTTTAACTATCTGATCTTCTTATTTGTCTTCTTAACCTTCCAATTTGCTAGAGAAGATGAAAAATAAAATTAAAAAAAGAAAAGATTGCTGACTTCCTAAAACAATTGAAAGGATATTGTCCTTTTTTTACAAGCTAAGTGAACCAGTTTTTATTGTCCTGTAGTCTTACTTGGCTTCATAGTGTTGATGTGCTTTGTTACACTGGGAGAAAGTCTTGGATTCTTCAGCCTTTTTTAGCCATCCCTGGGTGCTTGCATGTCACCATAAGTGGGATTACAAGATATGTTACAAGAAGTATTTACATGGGATTAATTGACAGTTGTTTTATATTCTTCATGGAATGGGAAAGAGTATATGTGGATTTTCTTGGGTGTTCTTGTTTGTTTGTGTGTTTTCTTCCCCTCTGACTTTTGAAGCCACCTCCATTACTTTTCTTGGCTAAAATTAATTTTCATCCTATGAAAGGAAAAGCTGATGGAAAAGTTCCATATACAGGCTACAATGCAAGGAGTATATGGAATTTGGATTTCTTCTTGGATTCATCTGTTCTTTTTTTCCATGTGTTCTCATCTTTCCTTTTTTTAAAAAATACAGAATGTCAAACTATTTTGAAATAAAAGTATTGCTTGAAAAAAATCTTCCTGCTTCAGCTTCATATCCTGAAGTAAATTTAAACGTCAAACCTGGTGATTTATGTACAAAATAATTTGAAATAATAATCAGAGTAGCAAAACTTGTGGAGAGCAGAGAGTAGATGGATGAACCATGTATCTGAAACTGAACATGCATTTTTTTCTTAATTTTTTTTTCATTGTTTTTCAGCGTTTTGGTGAAAGTATCCTGCACTCTATGAAGTCACTGCTACACAGCAGGAAGGAGTTATGCAATGTATCAGCAGAGGAATGCTTAAATCAGGAAGAACAAGATAATTTTATTGAGGTTTGCCTTAATATTCTCACTTACATATATTTTCTGGCTATGATAGGAAACAATGTCTCTTGAAACAGTATGGAAAGCTGCAGGATAGTAAATAGGAACAGTGCTGCAAATTACTGGCCTTACAGTCTATGCCTCCTATTGTCATTCTTGAATTTACTCACTAAAATCTTAAAAAGGCGGTGACATTTCTCTGCTTTGGAGGATTTGTGAAACTAGAAAACCGAGATTTGTAAATAGGTGACTCGGGTGTACTGCATTTGTGAGCCCTGCTGTGATCAAGGTTGTATGGATGGTATCCTAACAAAGTAGAAGAACACTTTGATTCAGGTCTGAAGATAAAAGCTGAAGCCTCAAAATTGCACATCTAGACTTACTTATGTGATTACAGATGGTCTGAAAGCTGGGCAAGGTCTGGAAAGAAGCAGACCTGACAGAATGTGGGACTATCTAGGTAAATTTCAAGCTGTAAGGAGGAATTACTAGAACTGTTTGAGTTACAAGGCTGTCAGCAGCTTCCCCAAAGGGAAAAAAGTAAAAGCAATGGTACCTGGTACATCATGTAACTTGTATTATGGTTTTACAAGACATGTAATTAGTAGTTGACAGGTCTGACAAGGAGCTTAGAGAAGGAGAGGCTGACCTGAACAGGCCAAGCAGAGGAGCTGAGATAGGGAGAATTGAAGCAAAGACAGCTGAGGAAGTGGTTAGGGGAGACTTATAATTGCATAAGCAGTAGCAAGAGGCAGATTGATAAATTATGGTTGCCTGGATAGCACTAGAGATTGTGTAACTGAATGGATACAGTCAGGGGTTGAGACATTTGGGGAGCAGGCAAGAAACTGCATTTGTGAAGGATGAAAGCTATGACAAATTAATTGTAAGGAGGAAGAGCTGTGCAGTGGAGGTGTGAGCAAAATCTTGTCATTAGCTGACCATGCTTTGGAATCTATGAAAGTTTTTTTTGTCCTAGTGAAATACCTGAAAAGTAGCTGGGAACATGTTTTATATGTCTGCATTGATGGTCCCTGTGGAGGAAGATAAATGACTATATTTAGTTGCCTTATAAGATGAAGCAATTAAGAGCCTTCTGGTTGAAATATAAGAGAGTCAATATCCTGTAACAGAACAGGTATTTTTCCCCCATGAAAATACAAGAAAAGATACTTACATGGAGGATGGTGTTAGAAGAATTCAGACTTGAGAAAACCAGAATTTAGGTTTCCCTGTGCCATTTCCTTTGTACCCGTTGCTTAAGATAGCCTTTGAATACTGTGTCTCATACACTTCTTTTTAATTTAAAGAAAGGACTTGTGTTACTGATGACCTTTTTATTTCCTTGGCCTACTCCCCAGCAACTTCTGAACTGATGTACTAACTTCAGACATGTTCAAGGTATTAAAAGGTGATTTTTTTTTTCTGTGAAAACTGGACCACAATAAAGAGATCCAGATTAGCCTTGTAATCTAGGCAAACATTGACTCAGTAGTGTTGTGGTCTCTGACAGCTCTCTGCTGATCTCAGTGTAATATTGCCCTTCACTTGTGTGAAGCTATGACTCCTGCTCACTGCCTTTCACAATGAGTTATCCCACAGAGAGAGTAAGGGTTGGAATCATCTTGAGGAAGGGGAAGGGGCATGTAAGAAGATCAAAAACACCCATTAAAAAAACGGAGCAAAATTGCCAGAAAAACCCAAACAGCAACAAACTCTAGAGCCTCTCAGAATGTTCTTTAGAGAACTAGTTTTTTCCTAGGTAGTTTAAATTGTTTGATATTTTGCCCCTTCTGTGGAGGAATTCAGTTCCTGTTGTACATACTGTACAGATAAAAAAATGTAGAAGTTGAAGAATGTCTTGCAGATGTTGTGCAGATGAATTGTGTAGGAGTTGAAGAGAAGGTGTAGGAGTTGAAGAGTAACATTGGTCAAACAGAATTGTTTCCCAGTTAAGAGGGTGAATACGGTGCTGCAGATGTGTCATTTGTCTGGAGCTATTTGGAATGTTACAAAGAAGAATTATTTCCTTTATGATCTTGTCATACCTGACATAAGGATAAGTGAATGCAAGCAGGAAGATATTAACAGGAAGCATAAGATCTTTTTTGCTGCATGAGACCCCCCTGAAATAAACAAGATAGAATTTTTCATAGTATGATTTCAGTTAAAAATTAAGTTTGGGGTTTCTTTTCTACTCACATTTTGAAATGACATATTCAAAACACCAATACAGTTCAAAATAGAATTCTTGGAATTTCTAACTCTGTACTTATAGCGATTCTGTGTATATACAAGCTGGTAGCTGAACCAGTTGATAATATATTAATATAAACATAGTGCTGTTTTTTGGAGTAACTGGAGTAGCTGCTGCAAATGTATGCTTAAAAATCAGTCTATTGCATAGTGCTCTGAAAAAATGGAACTCAAACCATAGAAAACTAAATTTCAAGCATCAGTGGAAATAGTCTCTCTGCTTTATTCCATATCTACAAAATGGAAGCAAAGTTTGTTTTCTGACACCCTTGTTTTGAAAATAAATGCCTTATTTTTTTTTTTTTAGTATGCAGGTGGCCTATTGATTTGTTGTTAGGGAAATACTAAGTGAAAACTAAGGAAATCTCACGTTTGAAACAAGGTTTGAGCAGTGACTGACTCTCTTCAGTCTGTTCGTGTTGAATAGTACAAAACACCTGTAGACAGGAGAGAGAGAGACAATATGTCATAAAATATCTACCTTGTCCAGAAGCACAAAAACCTGAGCTAAAACTGGTATTTCTGGCATACTCAAGGTTCCTGAGCCTGACAAGACCTTTCGTTTTTTTTTTTTTGTAGGTTGAATATTTTAATTCTTTTATGTTAGGGTTTGTTTACTTTACAATGGCATGCAAACGTGTGGCTTAAGTAACCTGTTGTGTTTTGGCCTCTGGCTAGTCAATTTACATGGTAAATTGCATGATGTGTTGGCATTATGCTTTATTCAGCATATCCAAATGTATAACAGTTTATCAGCATGGATGGATTTCAGACTGGAACTGTTTTGTATGTGCCCAGCCTGAAGCAAGGATGGATAAGCACTGATCTTTGCAAAATCATCTTTATTTTAACTGATGTAATGAGGCTTGTATGTGTTGCTCTGTATATACAATCCATTAGAATAATTCCTGTGTAGTGAGTTTTAAATGTTATATATGCTCTTCAGTCTGGTCTGACCTTTCTCCAGTCAAATAGTATAGCATTACCATTCTTCATGTATGACTGTGTGCTACTGACTGAGCAAGCTGTGCTGCCCTAAGGTATGTTTTTTGTGGCAGTAGAATGAAGCTATAACTTAAAGTCTGCTGAATTTTTAACTCTTAAATATCTGTAGGAGACAGAAAAAATCTTTACTGTACTTGACTGTACTCATGTATTTATTTTACAGATTACATTTATAGGTTTTGCAGAAGAGATGGGTACTGCTCACTTGCAGGTACAGTATATATCTCTGTATTGGAAAATTTCTTCTAAATAGCACCTGATTTTTTAAATGGAGGAAATTTGGTGGTCAAGAAATGGAATAGATGTATCTTGACTATTTAGAAATCTAAGTTTCAAATGTCATTGAAAGGTTGAAATAATTATTTTAATATGATAATCAGTGTTTTATATATATTTGCAATTTTACCTGAGTCAGTCTTTATATTAGGATGCTCTGGAACAACTTAAATGTGGTAGGGGAGGATGATTGTTTGAGGGGGTTGTTTGAGTGGGAAGAGCCTCAGTTAGTGTTTTTGTGGGTGGTTTTTTTTGGTTTGGGTTTTGTTGTTGTTAAAAACTTGTGTATATCAGTATTTAGGTTTGTTATCTTACCCTTAGTTGAGTTGGGCTTATTGATATGGTGCAGTTGAATGTGTGAAACTAAACTTTACTAATCTGATCTCTAGCTGTGAATTGCTGGTGGGGGTTTAGGAGCCAGTATTATGGTTATGCCTTAAGATGTTATTCTGGAGATTTAGATAAGGAAATATTATTTTAGAAGGTGGAGTGTAGCAAATGACAAGGGTTATGATGTGCCATTTTCATAAGTAAAGGATGTAATCTTCCTGTGGAATTTACATATCAGTATAATTCATAACATACATGTTCACAGGAAAATTCCATTTTTCTACTCTGTCTAGATCTTAGTAGAGGTTGCTTGTAATAGTTTGCTGATGTTGTAAAAAGTAAAACACACTCTGAATCCATTTATGTTCCATATTAGATCAGTGTTGTTAATTCTTCAAATTATAATACTAGACTTTCAAGTATGGGTTAGAACTGTTTGACTGTTTAGAGCAGATGGAATTTAGAGAAAGTTTAGAGAACATGTTTATGGAGATTTGCTTTGAACTATAGGGATCAGTAGTCTTTGGACTGTTGGAAAAAAAAATTGTAACTCTTTCATAGGCCTCTTCTGTATTAGATAAATATAAAGGTTGTCCAAGGTCATGTTAAAGAAGTGCCTTGCTCGTGTTTTTGTGATAGAGAGCTAGAACACTGTTCCAATAAAACAGACAAAGGGCAAGTAGAGATCCACTGAGAACCATCATTAGCTGAGGTCAGTGTAGCTGGATATTTTGTAGGATGTGCAGCTGCTTTTCAGTACTTTCAAGAGTCTGCTTTATGACTTTTAGGCATCTTCCAAGTATGGACTGAATTAAAACTTGTTTTCACAAGCTTTACATCACAGTTTGAGAGAGTAAGTGGGAGATAGAGTAAGAAATAGGGAAAAAAAGAAAAACTTTCCCAGAATCAGCAGCTGTTAGGGGTAGGGGAGGTATGAAATCAATCCCATTGTCATTTACATGCCATTTTTAAATTTTCTATTCTCGATGTTTTTATTTAAAATCAGGAGTTGTCAGCTGTTTCTGTAGAGCTTCCAGATGTTCTGAAATCACTCCAGTTGCACAGACTAAAAGAAAATGAGGCTGTATTTCTAAAAGACTTAAAGAAAACCTTGGCAAAACCTTATGTCATGAAACATCAGGTAAAATTTTTGTGTCATCTTGCATGTCAGAAGCATTACATTTTGCCTTGTACAGAGTTTAGTCCTATTACACTCTGTCCTGCTTTTGGTTTTGGGAAATCTCAACCACAGTAGTATTAGTATTATATTTCTGTTGTTTCATTGAAATAAACTGTGCTATATTGTTTACAAAAAATACTTTAAAAATATTTAATTATGGTGCTGATCCCATGCTTCTGATAGGCTGTAGTCTCATTCAGTGGCAATTTGGAAAGAATATGAAATTTGTCAGCTTACCTGTCTCTGCTCTGCTCAGATAGCTTTGATCTTCAGCAGACTTATATTATTGAAACAGAGGTGCCCAAAATTAAGGGAAGGTCTGGTGTTCATAAAACTCAGTGATTCCTTTTCTTAAAAAATATTATAAATGCTGTTAATAATATGATTTCCATGATTTTTATTTCTATATTGTTCCCATTATTACCATGGTAATTATATTCTTTCCAAATACAAACATTCCATGTAAGAGTAAAGGTAGCTCAAAGAAATAGATATCATATAAACTAAAATATTATACGGCATAAGCATGCTCTGAAATACTGTGCTCCTTCACAAATTTTTAACATGAATTCTTTAACAGGTTCTTTGGTACATGTTATCATGGTTGTGTTACATTATTGCAATGATTTATTCAGAGTGCCGACATTAAAAAAAAAGAGTAAGTCATTCTAGGTATCACTCTACACAAACTGTTGAATTCATTTTCTTGTATATAAAATATTTGAAAATTATTTACTCTTCATAAAAATGTGTTGAAGGAATCTCTTGAAGATTGCTGTGTTTGTTTTCTTATTGCTCTCTTTTTCAAGAATCAGCTTCCTGAAGTGTTTTGTGTGATGAGACTGTCTCCATCATTCCCAAGGATCAAAGCTGATTATATATTTACCTTGCTAAGCAAGTATACCACAGGCATAAGATATGCAGTGGAAATAAACTCTTCACAAAAATGTCAAACAGAGACAACCCATGGTGAAGATGATGACACCAATCAGTCAGTTTCTTCAATTGAGGATGATTTTGTCACTGCTTTCGAACACTTAGATGAAGATGAACCTTCAAAGATACTAAGTGCTGGTGAGTTCTTGCACACTTGTAGAAATAGGTATTAAAAACTTAGGCTGTTGAGATTTAATAAGAAAGTATATATAAATAAATTGTAATTTTTTTTTACATTAATCATACTTTGTAAAGGGATATTATGCAATTGAAAGATTAATTTTTTGCTCTTTTCAGCTCACCAACAGTTTACCAACTCATAAGCCAAAGATTCTAATCTCAGTGTCAGATGGATATCAAATAAAATCTTGTTCTACTTTGTGTGCTAAAAAATACATTAATTTCTCCATTATTAGATTTGTATAATAAGATTTAAAGAAAATGAAAGATTGCTTTAATCATGAACAATGAGCTAGCGTTTTGCAACATAAATAGTAATAGTAACATAAAGAGTAAATAGATGTTGCCATTAAAATCTGACCAGTTTGCTATGGTTCTGTGGAAATTCTTGGTTTTTGAAGCAATCTCTTTTTACCCTTTTTTTTTTTTTGTTCAGGTACATGCAGCTTTACCTCTCAAAACCATCGAGATGCTGCTTCACAGACCATCCCTGCTCAATGTTTAGAAGCTGTTGACTCAAAGATTCTTGTGGGTTCTGCACGTCGGAAATCATCTGCCAGATCTTCTACTTTGATTGATATTTTGGGACTTAAGGAGTTGTCCTCAGTAAAGAATTCAGTTACAACCTCAATTTCTGATCCTTGGATACAAAGGAGTTTCTATAAGCCATATAATCCCTCTGATCAAGGTGTTAATTTTTTACGTAAAACATTGTTTTCTTCCTCACCAGCTGAATCCTCTGAGTCAGATTGCTCCAGCCCAAGCCCCATCATCTTCTTAGATGAAGAAGGATATCAAAAAAGCTTGAAGGCAAAACTTCAGCTGCCAAAAATTCCAGTAGTAAAAGATGGTATAGAGGATTCAGACTCAGAAGTGAGTGAATTTTTTGATAGTTTTGATCAGTTTGATGAGCTGGAACAAGCCTTGGAAAACTCTTGTAAAATTATTAGGGATCCTATCCTAGGGAATCCTGCCCAGAAAAGGAGGACTTCACATGAGAAATTGTCTTCTGCAAGCATTACAATGAATCCTCAGAAATTCAAGTTTGATCGTCCCACTCTGCCAGCCAATGTGAAGAAACCAACTCCTCGTAAGCCAGAATCACCGTACAGCAGCATCTTCGAGGTCCCGGATTCCCCTCGCCCGGTTAAAACATCAGGGGAAGAGAGCGGAGGCTTCTTCAGCCCCATTAGAACATCGGCCTTCAGCCCCCTAGGGAGCTGCGGTTCCTCCGAATGTCTGTGTCGAATTAATCTTGGTGGAGATGGGACAGGTCAAAGTCACCGTGATGCAGCTTATAACAGTTACTCAGCATATGCTGACAGTGTTTCATGTGAAATACTGGGTTCTGTTTTTTTTGCTGAGTCCTCATCAGAACAAACATGTGCAGAGAATGATTCAAAGCACAAAAGCATTACTTTGAAAGAGAAGAAGAGGCAAGCTGCAGATCTCAAAATGAAGACTAGTAAGGAACCAGAGAAGCAAGCAAAATCTAAACATAAGTCACTAATGATAAGAGATAGCATTCAGAAATTTGCAACTGAATTGGTTGAAAAAAGTTTTGGCAGTGCATTTAAAGACCTCCAAAAAGGTGTTTCTTCATGCACAAATGCGCTTTGCCATTTGGCTGCTAGGTTGACTTCTTCAGTCTTTCAAATGGCTTTTTACGAGATTGGAAGACGTAGAGCAATCGCGCTGAAGGAGCGGGCCATTAATGGCATAGCAAACTTTTTGGTGAGCGAAGCTATAACTGGTGCTTTGAAAGAATTGCGTCAGGTAAAGAAACAAATATTTACCAACACCGTTGCACGCTTCGCAGCAGATCTCGCTGAAGAACTTGTGTTTGAAGGAATCATGGAAGTATGCCAGTTTTCATATCCATCAACACCTACTGCACAACCCTCATCATTTGATTATGAAAACAAAGTGGTAAGATCCTATGCCCGAGATTTGTCTGAATCTGTCATTCAGGAGGCATTTATTGAACTATCTCAGGTTGATGTGACCTTCACAACACAAGCAGCCATTAGTGTTTCCATGGACAATATCAAATATGTAAGTGCAGAAAGTACGTTAGAATCAACACAGACTTCCACAGTTTCTCCTAATTTTAATGATAGGGTAACACTAAAGCCAATCCAAGACTCGAAGAAGGAATATACAGTACAGAAAGCTCTATTTTGTACCTCTGGTGTTGTGAGTTCAATACCTGTGCCCTTAGCTGGAAGAGCTCTTTGTCAGCAACAGGTTTCCTCTGATGCTTACAAAGTGAAAGTATCCACTGTTCCAAATGCTGATGACGGTATGAAAGTATTCAAAGATTCCACTCATCCATTTTTCACAAGCAGAACAAGAGAGGAGGAAGTTGCTTCTTTCAGAAATATTTACCTAACTTCGGATCACAGTCAAAGTACTGAAAGCACTCCATCACTCTTTTGTAACCAGAATGATACCAAGCTAACAAATAACAGATTTGGAATGAACAATAATTCAGAATTAACAAGTGGGTCAAAAGGCATTAATACTTTCTCTGGAACTATGGTAGATATGATAGTAAATGAAGCTTATGAAACCATAACCTCATCTAGAGTAACAAAAGCAGTAGAAGAGTATTCAGATTTTTTAACAAGAAAAGTAATAGATAAAAAACCTTATGTTCAAGGAACTGGTGAACACTCCCCCAAGAGCATGTTTGCAGATCATTTGGCCAAGTATGTCATAAAACAATCTGTGGAAGAAAGTAAAACTGTGTTATGCAACACCAGTGAGAATTTAACATGTAATGTGAGCTCACAGACTTACAGAGATAACAATCGAAAAGAACAATGTGTGATAAAGAAGGAAGAGGCTGAGAAACAAAGCAATGTTTCTATAATTGTGGAACAACAACAGTTGCCTTTGAATAATCCATGTAAATTTCTTTCTCCAACTCATTCTGTTCAGTGTGTTTTAGAATCTAAAGATTGTTGGCCGGAGCAAAAAGGAAACAAGTTTTCTTCAAAATCACCACCACCTTGTTCCACTGTGACTTTTGCTAGGCATGTTCTAGAGGACTGTACTGACACGGGAAGCTGTTCAATAACTTGCTTAAACAAGCCTTCCAAAAAAAGCGATACCCAGAAACCATCAGCAGGAGCTTCGAATTACAGGCAGACTGATTGTTTTCTGCATGCAAATAGCTTTTCTTCAGAGATGTTTGGCAGTGAAGATACTTTGCAGATAGAAGAAAAATCAAGCCTGAAACATGGAAATACCTGTTTAGTGCCCGATACACCCCCACCAACTCCTCTAGTACCATGTCAAAGTAGTTCTGAAAGGAACCTAAGAAAACTGTCCAAGAAACTCAAGGGAGAATTAGCAAAGGAATTTGCACCTGCAACACCACCTTCTACACCCTACAATCCATCCGTTACTGATTCATCTGAAACTGAACACGACTCTTTGGAAAATGAAGAATTTATGCTGAAACTCATGCGGTCGCTTTCTGAAGAAGTGGAAAGTAGTGAAGATGAAGATCATTCTGGAATGCCTGTTGAGAAAGAGGAGCATTCAGCAAAAACAATTCAGTATGCAGATTGCCTAGCTAGCCACATAATTTCAGTAGCAACTGAAATGGCTGCTTCCCATTTAGGTGGTAAAACAAATGAAAGAGAAGCTGGTAGGCCGGCTCAGTTAGGGGTGCAAAAGAAAAGATGTGGATATACTGCATTTGTAAATATCCCAGAAGAGACATGTCATTCCTTGTGGAATTATGCAGGTGATATGGCAGGAAAAGTCATTAATGAGGCCAACAAAGTAGTGAAATCAAGGCATTGCAAGCTGTTGAGGTTGAAGCGGGTTAACTGCCAGGTGGATTGCTTTTATGTGAGAAGAGGTGATAAAGATGGTATTTCAAAAGAATTGTGTGGCCCAGTACAGGACCAGTGGCTGGGGGAGAGAGATTCATCTGGGCTTCCTTTACCACATGGTTCAGGCACAACAGGTTTGACTTCCAAGTACCCAAGCTGTGAAAGTGTGACTGACGAGTACGCAGATCATGTTATCCGGGTTCTGAGAAGAGAAGGAGGTAATGCTGAGCTCTTAGTGGATCAGTACGCCAGCAGACTTGCTTACAGGTCTATCAAGTCAGGCTTGCAGCAAGCTGCTAGAAAAACCAAATTCAGATACAGCAGAAAGACATTTCCTGGGCAAAATGCACAGGTAAATGGTAAGCTGGAGCTGATCAAAGCAGGGAATAAAGATGCAGTACAGCAAGTGAAAAGCAGCATTCATCGCTGTGAAGGTCAAATGTTGGAGAGGAATGTCCGCACACAGAGAACGGAATGTACAGAGTTGCTACATTTTTCCGAATCCCTTGCTCACAGTATCACTTGTGATGTCAGGAAGAAGCTGAAAATGTCGGGAACATGTTTGCCAAAGTCTCTAACAGATTCCTGTCTATATAAAAAGACTGAATTTGATGAAGTCACAGGGGATCTCGTTAAAACAAGGTTTTCTAGAACATTTCTTCCTTTCTCCCCCAGTCATAAACTCTATCATAGTACTGGTAATATAAATGAAAATGGCTACAGTGAAGGCATAATTCAAGCTATAGAACAATATGCTAGGAAAGTAGCAGATGATACTCTAGAAATGAGTTTAGAGTCAGCTGTTCTCCAAGTGGCTGAAAACAGAAAAAATGGGGATAAGCTCTCATATACTGAGAAACTGTCTCCTTTTTCTGGAACTGTCTGTAGATGCTGCAGTATGAAGGAACATCGCTACTGTACAGAAAGCATGTCCCATCATCTACCTGCACAAGAATCCTGCATTCCAGTGAGGCATTTTCTTCATTCTGGATTGGGTGGTGCCTGTCAAAATTCAAGAGTGTTTCAGCTCGGTATTCCCAAAATTCACGTTGATGTAGAACAGAGGACAGTGTTTCCTGACAAGGGGGCTACTGCGGCCGTAGAGAAATCAGAAAGAGAGCTGAGTTACACAAGTCTGACAGCTGACAGTGGTATTGGACAAGATGGAGTCAGTTTTGCTGAAAGCCTTACTACTGAAATAATGACATCAGCTATGACTAATATTGGTCAGGCAGTTACCATAAGGTAATATTAATTTTCTCTTACTTGTTGAATTTTGTACCAGAAAAAGGATTATTAATACAAATATGTGCTCAGAAGGAATTCTAATATATATTTTCTTAGAAAGATACACTTTATTTTCTGAATGTTTTCTTTTTGTTCTTCTGGTTATATTTAAATTACTTAGAACTAGGGGAAAAAAAGCTTTATTCCACCTATGTGAGTTTGAAATAAAGGATACTATGTATATCAGCACACATATGTTCCAGCAGATGAGTAGTAAGTGGAACTTACTGTCTCACCTTCAAAATAGTTCCTACAGTTATCCATACTAGTCCTTTCAGGTTTTGTTGATCTATGAGCCATAACAGAATCCAGGTTTGTTCCCTGTGCATACTTCCTCTTCAATATCTGATGCTGGTCAAGTAAGCCATTGCTTTGTAGTATGAAGATTTCATTTTTTTATTATGGCTGTGTTGTGATAGTGTCTTTACTACTAGAAAAAATAAAAGAAAAGGAACCTGTTACTTTAAGAAAAAACAACTTGCTAAACCGCACTTCAGCTTATAAAACAGTAATACAGTAATGAAGGAATTGACTTTAAAATCCTTGTGTATTTAGCAAAGGGTAACATACTGTTTCCTTTAATAGATCTATAAATAGTAAATCTGTGGCAAACAACTGTTTCCTAAAACAGATTGTGCTGTGATCAGAGTGAAATCTTTTCAGGTCCAAGAGCAATCCGAACCTTTTTTTTTTTTTTTTTAATTTTGAAGTAATACTTATATTCTTACTGGTTTTTTGAGGGAATTCCTCACACTGCTTTCTTTATCTGGTGGTTAGAGGGGCATCATGAGGAACAATGAATTGATTTTTATATATTCAGTGGCTAAAGGCCACAGTGGGACTGAACTAAATTTTTCAAGGTTTGATGTGAAACACATACATACTAACAGCATAAAACTGCTCTTGAGTAGTATATTGTTGATCTTTGTACAACAGGGTTGAGTCCTTACTCAGTGTGTGATAAAAAAAGAAAGTTATGTGGTGATGTTTTTCTATACCTATGTTGTCAAAGATGAAACTTTATTAAAAAATTCTAATTAGAATATGCCAGCCACAAAATGCTGGGTTGTAAGAGATACTATTTATTATTAAATTTGGGGCAAAGAGATGATATTAGAATTTTGCTGACAGAATTTTTAAATGTTTCTCCTATCATGATCCAGTGTGTGGTATGTAATATGTTCCTTGAGAAATTGCCTTGTGTGATGTAGAGAACTGGTGCTGGGATAACTGTAAAGAAAAATGGGAAAAATGACCTTTTATATTACCCTGATGGGTTTCAGTTCAGCTATATATTTGTACAAATTTATACTCACTGGAGCAAAGTCTTAGGAATTATGTGGTTAAGATTGGCTTTTTAAATAGTGAATGTTACTGTGGCTGCCTGCTATGTGGGAGTAGGCTGATCATTTTTCTTCAACTTCCTACCACTTCATATACATATATATCTATATATATATATAGATAATCACAGTGTGCACGTGAAAGTTAGCTCATAACTGCAGGTTCTCATTTTGTAAGTTTTTTTTTGGGGGGGGTTGTTTTTTTTTAATAAGGAGTTCAAACTTTTTAAAATTAATTTTTGAAAGTGTCTTCTAAAGGTTAGCTTCTGTGAGGTATGGTTGCTTGATAGGTTTTTGGATAAAAAAATTAAACTTCCTGAGGGGAAAAATTCTGTACAAGTCATGCATTGCTGTACTTTATTGAAGGAGAAAAAATAAGCTTTTTCTGACAAAACCTTTTTTTAAATGGAATCTTAATCTTTTAGACAGCAGTCTATACCTAAGCACTATGTTCTCAGTAGCAGACCAATTAGCTGCTTGTACTGAAGGCACACCAGGGAAAATAGCCAGGCTGTCCTAGGGTGAACAAGTTCAGAAGTGGTAAGTCTTCTGCTTGAAAAGTGTACCTTGATACACAGTCTGCAGAGCTACAGTGCCTTCTGTGCTTCATACCAAATAATATTCCAAATGAGAGAATTCTTTATACCACTCTGTGATTTCTAATGAAAGAATTCCAAAAAGCAATCTCTGACCTAAGCCTATCGATGTTTCAGATTAATTTTGTTGCACTATTTCTTGTGTTAGGAATAAGCCACCTATTAAGGGATTCCCCACCTTTTCTTTTCTTTTCCAGTGGAATTTGATGTCTTTGGAATGGTTTGAAATTGCTGTGAATGAACTAACACAGATCAGCATGACATGCAGTGATGTTTTTGTCTTAAATTTTTGTTTAGCTCTGTTGGAAGAGAAGGATTTCACTCTGTTGAATCTGTTGTTAGCCAGCAGATGAGTCTTAGTATTGGTGATGATAGCACTGGGAGTTGGTCCAATCTAAGTTTTGAAGATGAACATCCTGATGAGAACAGCAGTTTTCTTCACCTAAGTGACAGGTAATTATAAAGATGTTAGTACAGCTAAACAGTTACCTTGACATCAAATAACTTGTCATCAAGTGGTATTTCTCCTAAGGTTTGGAGGAGAAGAAGTTATTTTTATCTTTAACACACAATGACTTTTCTATTAAAAATGGCACTAATACTATGATTTTATTTTCTTACAAAATGTTGTTGGCCATGAATGTTCATACTCTAAAATATATGGAGAGTGCATTGTCATTGATTCCAGGGAATCACATCAAGTGGAACTGTACATACAAAATTTAAGTATTACCAAAAGATGTAAGCATTTTAAAAACAACCACCATGTGTAAAATACAGCTCGAGAATACAGTTTATAACTTGTGCTCTAAAATATTAAAGCTTAAGCCTTGAGAAAATGTTTTATATAAATTCATTTATTTTTGAAAAAAAGTAATAGCTAATTTGCATGATGAGCTATTACAGCTATTTTTGTCTTTTTTGAGACTGGAATTTATAAGCTGCTCTAACTGACATTGGTGGAGTATTTATGTACTGCTAACCATGGACTTACAGGTGTGGAATACTGGAACTTACCTGTTCAAAGTAGTAACTTTTTCTACAGAGCTTCTCACTGCACTGTCCCTGGCTGATTGATAACTAACAGAGATTAGAATGGCAGTTCTAAAATTTGCAATATCTCTGCCTGTTTCCAGGGAGAATTACACTGAGAGTTGTGGCCCAAGCTTCTATATAAGGAATGTATGAGGAACAGATAGACTTAGATTTTTGTGATTGATATAAAAAAGTTCAGCATTTCTGTTGAAGAATAGCAGAAATGGGAGAGAGATTTATTCTTTAATTAGTACTTCCAGCATTGCTGAGATTAAAGAAAATATAGAAAACATACTTGCTTAAGTAATATCTAAAAAGGTTATTTGGTACCAATATGAAACTACTTAGTTAAATGTCTGCAGGATTTTTCATGTTTTGCTTAACTAAATAATTTAATCAATCCACTACTATAATTTATCACTCATAAACCTTAATAATTTTGTAAAAGAATACATTAACTTTAGAGTTATTTTAGTAAAACATCATTTCTTGAACAAGTGAAAATGATGATGAAAATCTGAGTATAAGGAAGAATATTCGCTATATTGGCACAAATACACACTAAAATATAAATTAGTTGATAATGGGAAAAATTATAAAAAAATTCTGGACCAGTAGTGCCTGTGTTGTATTTGTTATTTGTTTAACATTCCCAAAACAGATATAAATGAAAAGAAAGTAATTTATATAACTTGGAAGAAAATCTGTGGCTCATTAGAGGAGGAATGGCCTGAATTAACATGTTACTCATTGAAGGGGAGACATAATTTGGATAGCAAGGTGTTGATGGAGGAAACAGGCATGTGCAGATTGGTGAGCTGGTTTTACACAGCTAATTGTGGCTTGGTAACAGCATGTGTGTTCATCTGTGTTGCTGAGGTTTATCATGTGGAAGGAAGGATCTGGGGTTGTTGCCCTGTGTGAAAAAAGATAGCCAGGGGGAGATCTGTAACAAGACCAGGCTCAGTAATAATATCCTGTTGTGGTTTAACCCCAGCTGACAACTAAGCCCCACCCTGCCACTCCTGCCAAGGTGGGAGGGGGGCGAGAATTGGGAGAGTGTAAATGAGAACACTCGTGGATTGAGATAAAGGTGGTTTAACAGGTAAAGCAAAAGCCATGCACAAGCAAAGCAAAACAGGAAATTAATTCACTGCTTCCTGTGGGCAGCCCCATTGAGATGAAAGCTATTTAGAGAACTTGCTAGTTAGTTATGCAAGGAAGTGCTTGTGTCTTCTGCTTTTCATGCCAAAATCAGGTGACTTAAATTTAGAATTAAAAAGTTCTTAAGCTTTCTCTGTAGTTGATGTGTAGTTATAAGCATAGGTGTAGACATAGGCTTTTCATCCAGTGTCTGGGTTGGGTTATAACTCAGAGTAGAAGCCTCTTGCTTTTCTTGTTATTCTGCTGGCTCTTGTTGAAGAGCTGCATGAACCATTATAGAGGCATTATAATGCCTTTGTCTGTTTATTGCTTGTTTTGTGGTTACAGGAGTTTATTTTAAAGACTGTTAATTTGTCTGTTAATTAGAAAAAGGTCTCATCCCTTCTCATCCTCACTGTTAATCATGTGGTTCAGTATATATGATTATTTCAGACTAAGACTCACCTCTGTAAAGTGCATTAAAAGTCTCTTATCTAATCAGAACAGTAGTGTGTAGAGGTTACTCTGTTAGATTACAAATTCTTTATCCTTTAGTCTGAGAACCAGGGCGGCTTTTACTTCTATTTATGTTCTGCATCTGTAACTTCCAGTGAAAGAGGTGCTGTGAGTGCATAGTATTCATACCAATAGGCTACATTAAAAATTTTTATACCTGTAATTTAACGATTTTAAGCCAAATTTAATACTTCATGTAGAGTGTGATAGTCTCACACAGTAGCTCGAGAAATATTTTTTAGACCAGGTTTGCATTCTCTGCGAGTTGGTTTCTTCAAAAGCTCCTGCTCTTTAATTTTCTTTTTTCTTGTTTGCATAACAAGAGAACCCTTTTAATTTTCTTTGGACGTGTAGTCTAAATAAGCAACAATGTACTGAATAAGGCACTTGCAACTTCTTAAACTTTTTTTCATGTTATTTGAGTGTGTTTATATTGTGGACTTGCTAACCTGCTGTTCACTGTTTTGAAATTGGTATCCAAGCAAGCCTGCTGGAGAGCAGGGGACACTGATAGGTGATAAAGTAACTGGCAAACACTTCAAAGCAATCGGTGTCTGTCTCTTGAAATGTTTTCTTCCATCATTTTGCTATATGCCGTGAGTGGAAATGAGCTTCAACAGTCACATAAAACTTAGGTGGAGAAAGCATCTTCTTGCAGCAGCTATTCTCTGCAGTTACTCTGTGGCTTCTCATGCCATCTCTAGCAGACAGTCTGTTTTTTTGAAGAATGCTGGATATTTGGAAGTCCTGTTCTTGGAAGGCTTCCAGACATGCTCTGGGGGAGGTATGAAGGTGGGGAATGAAGATTTAATCATATTACTTTCTCAGTCTTGTCCATATTGACAGGTTTAACGAACCGTGCTATTTATAATGACTGAAATTAACGAGTGTAAGAACATGCTTTTTCAGTTCTTTGCATTGGCTTGAATGTAGTCATAGAATAAATGCAGTATTTTTGCGAACTGTGAGTGAGGTAATATTTTCAGTATTGTTTTCATAGATTTATAAACTTTTTAAAAAAAAATCAATTTGTAGAACAATATTAAAAATTTTTAAAAATTATTTACTCTAGGAATTCCATCTCATCAGGCTGTTGGAGATTGTTACTGGGTTTTTGGAGTGAGATGGAAGGATTTTGTATATGAAGTTGTCTTCACAATGCATAATTTTATTAGCTGCTTCTTAAGCAAATAATACAGATGTAATCCATTTTCCTATGAGTAATCCCTTTGAAATTGTTGAGCTTTTATAAATAACAAGCAATGTGCTTAGACCTGAGGACAGAATTCCTGCTAGCACTGATCTGAAAAATTAATGAGTACAAATTAATACCTTCACCAGTGCACTGAAACCTGCTAGTTTTGCATTAATTGTGCACATTGCTGCTCTGGATAGCGCTGAGAGTCATGTTTGTTCCAGCAAACCTGTCTAGAACGTTTCAGTGCTCTTGCATTAAATGTCTTGACAAAAGAGTTGTAAGGAAATGAAGGTTCTAGTTTGAGCTATTGTTCTTTTCTAGTTCAGCTGTCTTTTCTTCTTCTCCTGGCAGTAATGGTAACAGCAGTAGCTGGAGCAGTCTTGGTTTAGAAGGGGATGTGTATGAGGAGAATTTATCCTTTCCAACATCAGACAGGTTGGTTGAGTTGAGAAATATAAACCAGATGGGTTCTTCATAATTAATGCATGAAATCATCATTTTTGAAAATAAAAATACAATACATTTTTTATGCTGACACATTATTCACACTCTTCTCACTTAATTACAATATGATTTTTTCATTAATTAATCCACCCTGAATGATTAAATTTTTCTGTGCTAAAACTGATTAATATGTTTTGCTTGCAAAAAGATCCCTTTTTTGCATGTTCTTGCCTGCAGTTTTATAAGTTTTTAGATTTACTTTTTTTTCATGCAGACTAGAGCTTGCTTCCTACAGGATTTCTGGGGTTTTTTTCCCTTTAGCTTGTGTAAATTTTCAGAATTGCACAGTAGTTGGTTTTTATAGACCACTTAGACTTACCTATAGCTGTTCATATCTGTGATGTAAGGTGGCTCAGCCTTTTCACATATGAAGCAAAACTATTAAAATCAATAAGTAGCACCTTTAACACCTTTCTCTTATTTCTCTCTTCTCCCTTTTCCTAAGAGAAAAATCTTGTTAAGTTGCTGATAAGTCTGTTTACAACATGAAATGGTGTGAGAAGCCAAGCTGCTTTTCATGATCACTCCTTAATTCTTTTATGATCTTCTTGTCGTTTAACCTTCATTATAGTCTTAGAATTTACTACATTTAGTACATATATTGGATTGTATTCATATTTTTGTTTTCTTAACTAAAATACAGTGATGGAACAGAAGATAAAGATGAAGATTCCAAGGATGCTGTAGAAGGTAATGCCATTTCCTGCATATACTACTCTTCTTGTTCTGTGCACTGTACATTAATTTTTTTGTTAATTCTTTGTAGTCTGCAAAGCAAGGTGACAACTTTATTATCCCTGTTCATCATAATGAATGTCAGTCAAGTGTCAGAATGTTAGATTAATGCCTTACATAATCCTCTTAATGCACTGAAATTTGCAGCCTTTGGGAAGTGCTAGTTACTGATGCTTACATGAATTTAATAACATAAGGTAGGGAACTTTTATCAGCTTGTTGAAAGTGTGAATTTATATGCAGAGCTTAACTTTTTTTTAAAGTATATGTTAAGGAGCCATGGCAATGAGTTCAACATGCTGAAGAAGTTACTCAACCTGGACACATTAATCCTGGGAGAGAGTCATGAAAAACAATTAAAAAAAAAGTCTTGGATTCAATGCATTTGCTATTTTCTTTTTCTTTGTAGTGAAGTATAACATAGGGTCTATCCAGAATCTTGTTACAACTTTGTGGTTTGTTTGAAGATCTCTGTGCTCTGGTTCCAGCCTGATTGATATGCCCAAGGTTGTTAACTGAAATGAAAACAGCCTGAATACACAGTGTGTGAAGATGGTTTTAAGATGAGCTGATGTTAGAACAAGTTGTAACAGAGCTCTTTTTGTGTTGGGTATGTTCTGAAGATAAAGTAAGCATTTCCAGAAAGTTCTGCTACTTTCTTACAGAGGATATTCAGCCTTGTTGCATATCTTCAAGTAGTCAGAAAGATGTGTGGGTTTAGGGGTTTTTGGTTGATCTTCAGTTTTTTCTCTCTTTTAAAGCTCTTGGAAAATGTATATAAGCAACCAGCATGTCTTAATTGTATTAAATCAGATGAGACTGTAAGGATATAAGAAAATAAAGCTATATTAATCAGTATTTTTTCCTTAAGGTAATTGTAATTAAAATATTTTCTGCTCTGTAGGTTTCATCTGCTTTATCAATAGGTCTTTACTTTCTTTTGGTCCCAACTTTAAAAAGTTCTGGCATCTCAAATACTCAAATTGCTCAATTAGGATAGTGATTGGATTTTTTCTTTACATGGTTTAAGCATCACCTACAGTCTGTAGTGCTACAGACTGCTTTGTACTATATTAAGGATTTTCTAGTGAAATTTTTCCAGTGTAAATTCCTCACCTTTTCACTATTGTTTTGAAAACACTCTTTCTGTTGTGTAATTGTAGGACTGTTTAAACAGTGTTCTAGGTAGAAAACCTTTGTACCTGGCCTTGGACATTTATAAGTTCTGTTCATGTCATACCTGGAAATGTCTGGCTTTTTCTAAGCTGACTGTGCCTTGTTCACCAAAGAATTTGAATCAAGCCTTATTATCAAATGTACATCTATTTCTAAAGACTAAAAAAATGTACCAAAATTTCCCAGCAATATTACTGCAATGCTTTCCACCCACTGTCATAATTTTTTTTAAATTGTTCTTTTTCCTATCAAGAAGTTAAATTTTGGGGCTCCTAGACAAATACTCAGTTATCCACTAAAAGCACTGTTTTGTTTGACAGTTTTGCTAGTCAATTTTCTCTTGCTTTTACGTCTGGAGAAATAGTTTCAACTTGCTTAACTCTGCCAGTTGGGAATGTGTACCTCAGTTTTCATGACCTTAGTTGGAAGAGTATTGAGATTGAGGTAAACTCGACATGAATATATGTTTTTCTTACTAATATATTCCATGTTTCTGGAGTGAAGTTCAATATTCTGGAAGTAGTAACTCTAGTTTAGAGAGCATTAAGCACCTACCTAGTTGTTTCTGGGAGTGTGACAAAGGATCTCTGTGGTAGCTGGACAGAGAAACTCAGCTTGGGAACAGAAGTTGACAATACCGTATTTCTTAAGTGTTAAACACCACTACTCTTCCAATGCTGTACAAATTTTTGGAACTTATGCTGTAAAAGAAATGTTGAAAAACTGGATATGCCTCAGTAAAAGCCAGCAGTATACTTTGGAAAAGTTCAAGAGGCAGCCTGGTCAGTGCAGGAAAGAATTCAGAAATGCACACTTTGAGAAATCAGTTAGATGAAGGCATAGCAAAACATAGCAGCTGAAAATGGAGGGAACTGAGGGACCATGTGAGAACCATTGCTGTTCACTTTATGAAAGTCTGCTAAATTTCTTGTCATTTGGAATATACATTATAGTTTAGGTATCTTTTAGTACTTAGCTGTGTTTGTGCACAGTTGTAAATGGGATAAACAGTACTTCCTAATGGGAAAGTGCTGAAACACTTGAGACCAGTCTAATTTTTTCCTTTCATATTTCCTTACATTTTATCTGTGTATACTGAATTGAGGTTTTTAAGATAATACAGTCTGTAGACAGGGAACTACAGAGATTTTTTTGAAACAATTTGAAGCTATAGATTTGATTATTTTATATTTGATGTTAGGTTTGGAGCAAATGCGAAAGACTTTATCAATAATGAATATTGATCTGGAACCAAATCTAGTGGACCCACAGCTCAGAGCAGCACTCCAGTGGCTGGCAGCTTCTGAAACAGAGGTGTCTGACCTTCACTTTCGTGACACTGCTGCAAGGGACTTTGTCTTTGTAAGTACTTGGGTTTCATGGGTGGTGGGAAAGAGGAGGGATTTCCTTGACTTTCATTTGCTGTGCTATACTAGCTGCTATTACTTCATTTGCTGTTCACTGCTGAGGAAGATCATTACTTAAATCCTGAGAGGTCAAAGTGGAACAGCATGTTTAGCCTGGAAATATACCATATATAAACCAGTATTCATCAAAGCTGATTGTTTCACTTCTTCACTTACAAGTGTTTCACTCCAAAAAGGATGCTATTGCATCATTTGTGTTTGGTCAAAGTTATGTTTTTTCAAGCATTTTTTACTTAGTATTTAATTGTCTATAAATTGAATCTTTCCAAGAACTTGGTCATGCAAATTGTTTTCTAACTTAGCATGTTCTGCCTAGGGTTTTTTTTGTTTGTTTGTTTTGTTTTATTTTGTTTTTTGATAGCAAAAATACATTTTCTTGTTAGAAAGAAGTTTAGTTTTGAGGTAAATATTATGTCTTTATTCTGTAAGCAACTAAAGCCAAAGCTATTGAAAAGAGCTCTCAATAAGATTGTTTTATTCTTAGGTGCCTTTACTTTCATTTTATTGATCAAACTTTAAAGGAGCTGGGCTTCAGAATTTATGTCCCTTTAGAAAGGTGCAGTATTTTGGTATGCATACTGTCCTGAGTATTTCCATCAGAAACACATAAGAGAAACTTATTATTCCAACAAAATCATAAAACCTATACTTTCATGGCTGCACACCAAACTACACATGATAATCTGGAACTTCTTACATTAAACCTATATTAATCAAGAAATTACTTTAACACTACCTCGTTATTGAAAGGTTAACTTAATAGCTATATAGGCATTGTTTCTAATGATGAGGTTCACAGGAGTGATAATTACAGAATATTTATATTTTGTGACCTAATAATGTGAAAAAGGGTTAACATGATACCATTAATAGGATTTTAAGAAATGCAATCTTGGCAAAAATGACTTAATGTACTTATCAGTATATTAAGGAAGAAAAAGCTTGCTCTCAGTTCTGAAATGTAATATTGACTCTTCAGCCTGGGGCTTTCCAAAGCTTACATCATCATTTCAGGAGAAAAGTGGAGTTACTGGGAGGTAAAGGTCGGTGTGACAAAACAGACTCCCAGAGTTGGAAGGATGTGTGCACTGATGGTGCTCAGTTACTGGAGACTTGTGGCAAAAATGTGAAAGGTGCCTAGAGGCCAGTCCAGATTGTACCTGGTCTACATTTTCCTGAGAGAGGCTCCTCCTTTCCTAGCACACAAAGAGAATGATAATTTTGAGGTGTTTTTCTGCCTGTGTAACTGTGTGGGACATATATTTGATTTAGAGAGTAGGAAGTTCTGCATTCTTATTTGAAATAACCCAGAAAGTTTGGAAACGTGTTTTGGGCATATAGAAATACTTGCCCTATGCTCCTTTTCTGGAGCTTGGTATGTTTGATTTAGAATTATTTCAAGAATATATTTTATTGTTCTGAGAGAGTGGACTTTGTGCTTCTGTAAACTGGAAGGCAGTTTGAGAATACTTTTCTCCATTTCTGTGCTGTTTGGAATTGTTGTTTTTAGTCCTTATATTCATATGAGTCTTCTTTGTTATGGTTGCTAAGTGTCTTAACACAAAGAAGAAAATACATCACTTTTTCTGTTCTCACATGCTTGGCTGAGCATTCTCTGAAGGTTTTTGGATGTGAACGAGTCTGGGTTAGGGGTAACACTCATTCTAACCTCAGGAAGTTTTTTGCCTTCTTTTGAAGATGTGTTCATCTGTTTTATGCTTGTTGCAAATACTCAGGTAGGATAGTGATAGGACCTAGAAATGTTAATAATAATTTATTTTCTGTGTATCTAAAACATGTATCAAACAATATAATATGAAAGACAGAAAAAAGATGGCAGGTGCCTCTTTTTAAAATTTTTCCTTGACTTTCTCGTTCTTCGGCCAGCTCTGAGTTAAGAGACTACAAAGTTGTGGTGCTGAGATTTGAGCCAATGCTCCAGGACACACAGGAAAGATATTATTAGCTGGCTGTGTATCTGAGCATGACTCCAGCTACTTTAATAAGAGGACATACGAAGAAGAGCACTCTGGAAAATAGCAGTGTCTGTTATGTGTGCCCTCCTAAAAAATTATAATACTTTTCTACGTGACACTTCAGTCATAAATTGATACTGAGTTGACACCTGAAGGTAAGACCTTGTGGCAGGCAATAGTCATGCAGTCCTGAAAGTGCTACAGTAGTTAATTGTTTCAGTTAATTTTATAGATTATTTTTAGTTCCCCACATGCAGTTATATTAAAATAATTTGAAATTTTGTTCGCCTCCCCGGAGGCAGAGAATGATTAGCCGTTTTTTTTATTCCATCCCACTTGCCAATGGGAATGATCTCGGAGGCAGACCGAGTTGAAGTGGCCGCAGCCATTCCCGGCTCTTGTAAAGCTGAGCGAGCCCCTCCAGAGGGCGCCGCAGCCCAGCAGGAAGCCCCGGCCGCTGTCCTGGTGGCCCCGCAGCCGCTACGGGCTTGGGGCTTGGGGCTTGGGGCGCATCTCTCGGGAGCCACCTCGGCTTCCTGGGGACCCGGCCCGCGGCTGGAGCACGTCGGAAACAGCTCTTTGCTCTGTGAGCGGTTGGTGAGTTGTGGAAGGGAGGAAAGGCTTGTGTTAGCTGATCGCAGCAGGGAAACGAGGCACCGACGCGATGTGGCTGCAGGAAAGGCAGAGGTGCTCCTGCCATGTGTCGGGGTATTGCTGCAGCTGGGTGTGAACTCTTACTTGGCATGCTCAGCAAGGCAGAAAGGAGTTAAATACCTATAGGATAGAACTAAATACGTTTGTTAGGACGATAACAAGAAACCACTAAGTTAGAATACATAGCTCTTAGCTTCTGTGAGATGCCTTGACAAGGTGGATATCCCTGGATTAAAAAATCATATGTATTACATTTTTAATCAGACCTTACCTAGCTGTTTTAAGATTCCTGTTTTGAGCAAACTCACTTATCTGGCAGTAAGAAACAGATTGGTCATCTAAAGAAATAGTGAGATTAAACCTAAAATTAAAATTTAGATGACAGCTCTGTAGTTTTACCACGGTGGAAAACTTTGTTGAACAGAAGTTTTATATTGTATTTGCTGAAGTAGGTATTTGGACATTAGCCATACTTTCCTCTGGCAGAGGAAAGAAAAATGACCATTCTTTTATAAACCAAGAAACATCATTTACAAAATTGCATGTTGTAGACTGTAAAACTCCTACTTCCTGTGCTCTGCTTTAAAATTCACAGAAATAGCTACAGATTTCAGTCTCTTCTTATATAGAAAATGTCTTTTTTTTTTCTACTGAGAAAAGTTTCCAGTGTTCAGAATAAATTATAATCAGAATTAGAGAGGATTTTTTTGCTTGTTCAAGTTAATGGTTTTCTCAAGAACTTAATTGTTAGATACATGTTTTTATGCCTGTGTCCTTTCTGTCAGTGCTATCACCTGCCTTGTTGCAGTGGGAACATCAACTAGGTAAAGAAGCAGGGAAAGATTGTCTTCCTTTTTATTTTTTTATAGAACTTTATATTGCAATCTGACAGGTCTCATAGTAGAAACTGTATTAATTTTTAATTTTATAGCTGTGAAAAATATTTCCCTGAACAGTGTGTATGACTTTTTAAAAACTTAATATATGGCATGTCTTTGTAGGGACTATAAAAGGAGATAAAAATTTACAGCTCCAACGAATAAGTAGAGTGTCTAAACTGTGTTTACAAAATGCAGCATTGACAGGTGTCCAGAAAGCTACAGAGAATAGTTCGTTTGTGTGGGTGTTTATTTGTTTGTTTATTTATTTACACTTAAAATTGTTAGGTTTTTTTACTCCTGGGCAAGCTGTCAAATTCATTCTTTCCTTAGGGTTGGCTTTCTTACACTTATAGCTGAGCTTGACGCATCAGCAATGGAAGATTTTTTTCTCTTTGGATCCTGGGGGAAGAGAAATGTTTTCAGTGACACTGTTCTCTGTTCCTGAGTGGTAGTTTAACTTAATCATCACCTTTTCCTCTTCCCCAAGATGTTATAATTTCCCAACTCTGAAGACACTGTTTTCATTGAGGGTAGTGTCTGTGCCACCCCAACCACACTATATGTTGTGAAACGAAAATCCACATCCTTTTATTAAGACAGAGTTTTGTCTTTTTATACATGCATTATTGGTATGGGAGGGGTGGCAAATGTCTTAATCTTGTGTTCAGAATTTCCTGTTTTCTGCAGTCTTGATGAACCACAGCCCTCATACCTGTGGCACCACATAATTTGAAAATGGTGCTCCCTCCAGAAGAGTTTTGTGAAGATTGCCCTAAAGAAAAGTGCTTGAATCTTGCGGAAGTTTTTGTTTTTATAGATGTGGGAATAATGATTAACTTATTACAACTGATCTCTTATGACTTAATGTTTCAAGAATAACTTCTGTAACTTAATCAGGATGTCCTAGTCAAAATGTTTTGTTTTCTCGTCTCCTCTTTAGCTTTCCAGAAGACTGAGAGAAAGAGACTGGAAAGTTGGAGATCTCTTGCAAGCAGTGCTGAAATATTGTGAAATGATAGAGACAACATCTGATGGAGAGCAAGCTCTAAGTAAATCTTTGGTCAGTTGGCTTCTGGAAAATGTCTGAAAAATCCAAAGATGCAACACTCTTCGCTCCATTCCTCTTCTGAAAGGAGATAGAAGGAACACAGATGTGTAAAGTAAAATTCAACTAGTGAATGTTTAAGTAATAGTCAGCATTAAAAGACTTTGAGGTGAAAGTCAAAATAGCTGTGCTGTGCTTTGTGATACTGTGCACATGGTATGTTTATTCAGTCCATAATCGGTGTTGTTCTCCCACGCATAAATTGTATTTACTGCTGTGTTCATACCACTGAGATATTTATGAACAACCCTTGTCTATAACCGTAGTCCACAGGAGACAGTCTCAGACATGATATTCAGGATGACTCTTTGTCCCACTCCTATGTGTGCTGTATTCACAGCAGGACTGAGAGCATTGATTTCAGCAAGAATCTGCTCTGGAATACCTTGCTGCAGACAGTGGAAAAATTATTCACCTTGGCTAGGTGTTATGTGCCCAAGAGCAGCATTGCCAGGAAGAAAACTGTGACCTGCCTGAGCAGCCCCTTAATACAGCCTGGCTTCATGACCACCTTTATCTATTTTAACTGTATGTGAAGATGGGAGAGTCTGCTCTCAAAGCTGAGGTGCAAATGCATGAATTGTTGACTCCTGTAGAGCTGGTAACTTCTGGCAGAAGGGCAGAGTGAGAAGTTGAGCATAATTTCATATGTAATTCTTCAGCAAGGTTTCCTGAAGCTTGCCAATCAGATATAAATGGCTAAAATTTTTAGTGAGGCTTTTTGTATACAGAAACTTCTGACAGTAATTCTGTGTCAAAGAATTTGTACATTAGTCTCACACAGATGTGTTAAAAGTAGAAGATAGAAATTTCTGAGGATTTTGGCCATCTTTTTGAATAGTTTTATTTCTTTATTTCAAAGCAGTGACATACAAATTTTCTTTTCATGAATAAAGACAATTTTGTTACTCAGTAAGCATGGAAGATTTTAGCAAAGAAAGCTAATAAAAATGTAAAGGGGAAATATCTTACAAATTGGTATTTCATTTTTGTTAACTACCTTCACTGAACTTATTTTAAAGGCACTTTTAATTGAATTGTTTTAGCAGTCTTGTCGGGTTTCTTACCAATGCTGCTGTTATGCCTTTCTGTCTGAAGGGAAATCTGGACCTTCACTTATCCTGTGGTTTGAAAATACTTTCTGGGATTTGTTTTTTTTATATATCCTTTGAGAGAAAAAGGCATGTGCTGGTGATTACCAGGTTGCCGCCTAAAACTTGGCAAATAATAGAGCGTTACTGATTTTGGATGAACAAAAAAAATCTTAATAGCTTTTTCTCAGAAAAATATACTGTTGATATGGTACACAGTTTTGTGATCCCAAACAAGGAGAAATATGGTCTCCAAATCTATTCCTGAGTTTTAATAGCATATGTACAATTCTGATTTCCCTTACCCCATGAATTTCTATGAAGTGTCACACTGGTAAACTCAAACTGGTAAACTTCTTGCAGTGTCTTTGTGTTTCAGGAGAGCATTCCACTGGCCTTTGTTGCAGAGACATGGTTGGTTTTAATCGTCTTTTGTGATCTGGATTTCTGCCTTGGATCTCACAAAGTTCACCTTTCTCACAGAGCCAAAGATTTTTCATGTTTTTGTATATGTACATAGATGTGTTCACACATGTGAATACACACAGATATGTTTATCTATATGTGCATGAGATCTCACTGCTGTGAACTCCTGGTGCAAACTTCTACCACTAAATTAAAATTCTGTTATGCTCAGTTTATTTCCTCACTTCATGTATCATTTCATTGATTGAAAAATCGATGTATGTGACAAAAAGACCAAAACTGCTTCAAGGTCTTTTGTATTGTTATAGGTAATAGAATCCAGACATCAGGACATTAGAGCCCGAAACATGTCGAGGGAAGTTATTTAATTCCTCTATTTGGAAGATAGTTCTAGTAGCAAATATTTTTTAAGAATTGTGCAAAGGTTGTTTGGATTTTTTTCTTCCTCTCCCAAACCCACATATTCCTTTTTCCCTTTTTTCTTTTTTAAGGTTGATTTTCTACATTGTTTTAGACAAAAATTTGAAATAATATCGCTGGTTATTATATACCTTCCCCTTAACACAGCAATAATATACTTGTACAAATTTACCTATAAAATTGAAGTGTCAAGGAAATAAAATGCTAAAAGCAGTGCCTCATGACTAAATTTTGCTCACCAATTGGAATTTCAGGGCATGAGGATACAGTATAGTGAAGTGTTTCTGTACAATGAGAAAGATATTGAAGGTATTGCAAATGTGCAAAAGCTTACATTTAAAAAAATCTACAGCACAGCCAATGAAAATCACTGCAGGAACAGCCTTTTTAAACTCATTTGTTCAGAATGATGGATTTTATAAAGTTGGTGAAGTGCTTTTTCTTTTCATTTTACTTTTTTGGAGAAAGGCAGAAGATTGTGCCATTCACAAAGCTTACAACTATTCAGAAAGTTAACTGGACAACAGTTTTACTGAAAATTATCTTTATAAATAGAATCCTGTTTTCAAACTAGATCAAATATGTTGTGTAACTATTAATTGGTGTTACATTAAGGAAGAAATGGTTTTATTAGCCTCTGTGGAAAGTAGCATAGTTTCCAAATTTTCATGAGAAAAATGTTACAAAATATTTCATTTTTGCTGAAAACAAGCAAAAAAACAAAGCTAGTTTTCTACACAAATAGTTTTGAATTTGTTCTGAATGACTTGACTTTTCTCCTTCTGTATGAAGTTGAAAAACATTAAACTAGCCTGGCAAAATTATTACAATTGAATAATTTTAATAATCTTTGAAAACTTTACTCTGGCTATATCTAACTGGTGCTCTTTGCCATATTAGTGAGAAAGCTGCTCCTTGCTAATGCAAGTCTTAAATTACACTTTTACTGAGTTTGTTTAAAACTCCTGACCACAAATACAGAAAGCTGTAAAAACATGAAGGGCCACATTATGGTCCCTTTAAAGCAGACAACTCTGCTTTATAAACAAACATAATAAGGTAGAGTTTGTTTCATCTAGCATTTTTTCTGTATGGGAAACCCTGGTAATTTAATTTTTATATTGAGGAAAATATATCCTAGAATGTTATTGTTTCAGAAATCACCCAAACGCTTCATATAAATACATTTGGTGTTCTAAAATACGGAAGCGTTGTGATATTTTGTAAGATTCTGTAGAAGAAGCACTTTGAGAAATAGTCCCTCTAAAAAGTAAGTTAGAAGTGGCCATATTTAAAACTAATTCATACATTCAGAATGGGGTCCATAAACAATACAAAGTATGCATAAAGCCTTAAAATAAAAAACAAACAAAACTCAAATCCATATGTCTCAAAACAAGGATGTGAAAAGCAGCTCAGATGATGTACATGAACACAATTTCTGTAGTATCTTTATTCTTGAGTTTTTGAAGATTGTTTAAACATTTTAGAAAAAAGCCAACCAAAACCCGGAAACCCACATTCCGAGACTAATTAAGTCTCTCAAGAATGATTTTAAATGTTACATTTCCTAATGTAAGTTTGTCTGGGACCTTTTCTATGAAGAGAGACAAATAGATGGAGATGGGAACAATGTTCGTAGTAAACACCAGCGCAAATCCCTGTGGTTCTAGACAGTCAGCTTGCAAAGAAAAAGACAAGATTCAGGAATGATTTCTATTGTAAGAAGTTTGGCTTTTCAGCAAGAGCCACTACTGTCAAGCATTTACTGTACTTGAGCTCTGAAGAGACAGGTACAGAGCCCAGCCACTGTAGTCACTTTATTTTGTACCATCTTTGTACATTCCTGTTGTATAGCTGGTGGTGTAGTTTTAGAGGGCCTTTGTTCTAATGTCTGAACAGTATTTAATAATAAAATTTATTATAATTTGCTGGAACTGCTGCTTATTTGTGCAGTGTTACAGTAATTCACAGCCCAGTTAGTGATGCAATTGTATACCAAAAGCAGTTTGAATAACTAAATGTTTATGTAACTGTACTCAATGAATATGAAGGTCTTGTACTGTATAATGGTGACAAGTTTTGCCATTTTAGTAATTTAACTATATTCAGTTTTCAGATTATGAACTCCAGGTTGCACTAAATTTGTCCTTGTTTTAGCAGTGGCTTAAAATAAAATACATTTCACTGGCTTTGAGAGTGCTGTCCTTTCTTGTAAATTCATGGAATATTATTTTTCTTTTCAGCAAACATAGCTAAGACCAGTCTTGGTTGGTGGCTCTGTGAAGGCACTTGAGGAAGGGTTTAGTAAACAGTGTATCAGTAGATGGCATACTTTTTACAGAGTTAAATTGGAGTCCTGCAAGGGGTAAAGACCCTGCTTTACTGTCTTTGGGTTGAAAGGTGAACCCACAGGTGCACTGACATGCAGTAAAGTGTCACATGGGCTCTATTCACAGCACAAGGGGATGTAAGAACTAGTCAGCTTCATCTTGCCTGGAAGCTGGGTTAGTAAGGTGGCCTTGAAATTTCAGTCTGGACTGAAGTTGGACTTTGGCACTTTGTCCAGTATTTGGGAAATTAGCTTAGAACTCTGCTTTAGGCTTCTGGACAAATCCAAGAATACTCTGCTAATGAAAATGTAGGAAACAGGACATTTCACAGACTTCTTCACAATCCTTGAGTGTTTTGGAATCTTGTGAAATCCACCAAACAGCATATTGTCAAGTACCCTAAAATAGTAATGCTGAGCAGAGATGATGTGCACAGGTACTATTTCTAAGATTTAGAAGTACTGCTGTTGCAAATAGCTGTCCTAATGTTTTTTGATGTATAAGTTGTGAGTCTACTATTCTCAGCTGGGTTTCATTTCAAGGATTAGGAAATTTTTGCTGAAGTTACTTTAAAACCAGTAAGCGTGAGTAACTCTCATTGATTATTTTTGCAATGGTTGTTTAAAGGAAGTTCCTTTAGTATTTTGAGATTGCTTCCAAAAGGAGCATTTTTGTGTTTCATTACTGTATGAGTTTCAAAGATTTTTTGTTTGAGTAATGCTTCATGGTCAATCACATGGAAAATATATGTTAACTGAAGCAAGTGAAAAACTTACTCTTCAAATACTGTATGTTCAAAAAAAAAGAAGGCAAGTAGTGTGTTGGAAACAGGATATTTTCATAAAGGGAAAGAAGATATTCATGTGGAAGATAGATCTGAGCTTTTTTCTTCCTGCCTTGGACTTTATTTTTCTTTCATTCAGCAGTCTGGTTCTGGCTGGCTTCATTCAGCCACAGAACAGTATCCCTGCACTTTGTTTAACCTTGGTGTATTAAATTGAGAGTTAAGTCTCCAGCTAGTCCATAGGCTTCGCCCAACATGTGTGCTACTCCATCTCTTGCTGCTGTTGGTCAGACCTTCCTCTCAGTCCCTAGCCTGAGCTTCTGGTGTGACTGAATTCCATGCTGGCTATTGCTCTGAGCCTCCGATTGGAAGGTGGCTACGGAAAGTGAGTCATGCCAAGGCTGCAGAAATGTACCCAGATCACTGACCTTACTGGTTATTGAGCACCATATTAATCAAATGCTGTCTTTTTCCCCTGCTGTTGAGGCAAACCATGAAGCGTGTGACTGTTTGGGGCAAGGGAACTGACAGTGACAAACACGAGGCCTTGTCTGTGGTCAGGGCACTGGCTATCTGGTCTGTGACCACGCAACACCTTTTCACAGAAATTGCAAAAACTGAAATTAGGATCTTTATGTAGTCAGAACACATAGTCTGCATTGCCTTAATCCCTCTGAAAATTGCTGCTGCTTGTAGGACCGTGAGGAAGCTTTGCGTGCCTTTGCTTGGGTTGGTTGGTTTGTTTTTAATTAAGAAAGGGCAAAAGAATATGCTTGTGCAACTCATTTGACTCAGGTTTTTGAAATTCCAGAGCTTCTACCAGGAATCGGATGAATATTGAGAAAAGGAAGTCTATGATAATGTGGTACTTCTTTCTGCTATTTGACCCTGTAGCCCGCTTAATTCCAATCTCCTATTTTGTATAGCCTCCACCTCATTTAATTTAGTTAAATCAGGGGCTCTTCGTACACTTTCCTTGTGGCTGTTGCTGGTTTCTACCTCTTTTCTGTCCCTTGTCAAGTCTTATAGTGCAACTGTCGTCTTCAGCTTCTCTTTTGACCCTGCTCTGTTGTCCTGATGTGACTTCTGGCCTTCTCATTCTTGTCTGGTGGAAGTGGTTAAAAACCAGCAAGGGGAGTCTTAGCTGTGAGGCTATGGAATAAGGCTTGCCTACCAGAAATCATCAAGCAGTGAAGAAGAGCTAAACTTGCTTTTGGCTGAGTTTTTCACTCCTGTAGGAAAGTAATCTGTGGTTGCTTTGGTTTGGAACCCAATTTACTGCTTGCAAAACCCTTGGATTTTATGCTGATCTAAAAGTAACTTTTAAGCTGATACCGAAGTATAATGTAACTCTAACAAACTCCATAATTCGTGCTGCATTATGAGCAGTGTACTGCTGGTTGGCTTCCAGAGGCAGGGCAGAACTCAGTCCTTTGGAAAGCTGGCAAAATCCCAGTTGTCTCACCTAGTTGCATCAGGTCTCAATTTAGATAGATAGTAACTTTTAATAGCAAGTAGTTGAGACCAAAGAAGGTCGTATTTTCATATTATTGCCCCAAAGTATTGTGCTGTGAACAGATGCTGCAACTGGATTGATAACCACACAAAATCAGACATGATTCTATGAAAATGCTAACAATATGGACAGAAATACAGCAAAGAACCATCTGCTTCTGCTGGAAGTTGTAGTTCAGAGGAGACGCGTGATGTTT